CCCCCCCCCCCTCCCCGGGATCCCCCCCGCCCGCAGGGCAAAACAGCGCCGGCCAAGGTGTTCCAGCCGTACCCGGAGGGCTTCCCCAAGCCGGACCCGCCGCAGTACCTGGGTGCCAACGTGTACGGACTCATCCACCAGCAGCAGCGGCAGAACTACGCCATGCACAAGCTGCTCACCAGCCTGCAGGCCTACTTCGCCCGGCCTGCCGTCAAGGAGGTGTTTATAGTAGCGGTACATAGCGAGTGCGATCCCCCTGTGGACCGAGTTTACGGCTGGGTTTTTTCCACACCCAAAATAGGCTGCCAGGGTCGAAAACGGGCGGTTGCTTCGGGAACAATCTGGTCGAGAGCTGGAGGTCCTTAGAGCCCAAGACCTATACGTTGATCGGTTTTCGATGGCTCCCTCTCGGTTATGGAGGAGTCAAGCTTTGACAGGCAGTCGGGGGGGGTGTGCGCGATCACTCGCAATGGTAGACGGCAGTTTGTTTAGTCTAATACCGTGCCGTTGGAGCCGCCTTCTGCTGTTCTGTGGAAGGCGGATGATTTGTGCTGGTTTTTGCCTCAATTGTCCCGCGTGATGCGGTTTTCACCGCACCGATGGCATGAGTCCGCAGGTACCTCTGGCTGTGACTGTGGCGTCGGTCAGAGTCGGCAAATGGTGTTTTCGCTTATTGACTTTTATTATTACTTACGCGCCGCCCCCACCCACGGGGCTCCCTGCCTACCCTTCGGAACCGTTTCTGTTCCAGATTTCAAGCTCATCCAGTTCTACCAGTGAACAGAGGTAAGCGGCCGTGGTGATGTTTGTCGTTCGTTTACTGCCACCGGTGGAAGGGAGCTCCGTCAGATGATGTTGGGCCGCCATGCGTGAGCATGACGTGACGTAGTCTCGCCCCTTTTGTTGTCGAAAGGTCGAAGGGGACAAACGGTTTTGAGCCCCGAGCCCCACCTTCTCGCTTGGTTTTGGACCACCGCTGGATTCCGTGCTCCCATTAATTTGGTTGTAGCGCAACCCCCGCGGCGGCGGCGGCAAATACATGTGCATACCTACGTGCAGGATAGATGATACACGGCACCCCGACGCACCCACCGATGATCGGTCATGTAGGAACAATGCTCCGTCCTCTCGAGGACGCGTGGTCGATCTTCTATCCGCTACGGCATGCAAAATATGAGTACCCACCCCACCCACTACCCCCCCCCCCCCCC